CCTCAAATTCTAATTCAGCATTGCTTTTAGAGAACACAACCTATGACAACTGGCTACAATCGTTATGTCAGGATTTGGGGGAGAGACTTGAAAAGTTTCTGCACCCGATAAGCCTCTCTGCTGACACAGCAAACAATCCAAATCAGACCAAATCAAAACAAATTGGAAAAAGACCACATTTATTGGATACAACTCCCAGATGGTTTTCTGGTCCCCCAAAGAGGAGGCAGGGAAGAAAGACCGAAAAGCCATGTGTCTGTTTTTCTAGGGAGGGGGACATTTTAAATACCCTGTGGGAGTGGTCTTGAGCACCCCTGGGGGAGGGGTCATCATTTGTCTGGCTTTCTGAGATTTGGCAGGGTTTAGAGAGAAATGACTGAGGGGGCTTGAGGTGGAACTTCCACCAAAACATTCCAGACTCTTTGGGTATATGGATGCCAGGGGCTGGGGTGGAGCTCCCACCAGAACACCAACTCCATACCCTTGGGTCTAAAACAGGGTCCTCAGCCATGTGATTGTACAGAATTTCAGTCTTTTCATCATAGTATTTACTTCACAGCTTTGTTTAGAATTATACTCCCCTGGAGCCAGTTCCTGGCAGAAGTCTCTAATCCCAGCAGTCAAGATGCTGAGGCAGGAAGACAAGAGGTCAAGAACAACTTTGGTTGCATAATGAGACACACACCCCAATTTGGAATAATAATTTTTTAAAAAGCCAAGGGTAGAGATGCATGCCTATAATCCTAGCATCCAGGAGAGGCAAGAAAATCAGGAGTTCAAGGTCATCCTCAGAAACACAATGAGTTTGAAGCCAGCCTGGGCTTCATGAGACCCTGTCTCTAAAATTCATTAAAGAAGTAATGAGTGGGCTGGGCGTTGGTGGTGCACGCCTTTAATACCAGCACTCGGGAGGCAGAGGCAGGCAGATCTTTGTGAGTTCGAGGCCAGCCTGGTCTACAGTGCGAGTGCCAGGATAGGCTCCAAAGCTACACAAAGAAACCCTGTCTCAAAAAAGAAGAAGAAGAAGAAGAAGAAGAAGAAGAAGAAGAAGAAGAAGAAGAAGAAGAAGAAGAAGAAGAAGAAGAAGTGAGTGTTAAACTGAGGTTGAGTGAAGGCTATGCATAATGACAGCCTTCAAAGAGACTCCCCTAATCACATACGGAGATGGAAAGACAGGAAAGCATAGAAGTCATAGCATAGTGCCAGTCCTTATCAAAGATCAAGACACCCAATCGTCAGGCCATATACTAAATAAAATTATTGACTTCATAACCAGGGAAACCTGCTACAGGATAAGCTGGAGAACATTCTTGTTTGATTTTCCAGAGCCCTAATGTTAGCTAGGCAGAATTCATTTTAGGGACTGCTATTTAACTGCTGGAAAAAAGAATCTGCTTTTTTAATGGAAAAAAATTGTTCCTTATTGTGAAGGCGGCACATCGTATTCTTGGCTTCTTTGGTCTCCATCAGAGGGAATTCATGTATCTCCCTGTACCTCCACCGTATCTTGAATCTCCTATGTCAACAAAGAAAGCCAGACTGATAGATAACTTTTTTTCTAAAAATTAATAAGTAGAAAGTACCAGCCCATCAAGATGAGCACCAGGCAGGTCACATTGTGTAAATGCATCTGTTCTCAAGAAACCTCAAGAGGCTTAGGAATCAACAGATGAAGGGCCCCACAGAAATGACTGCAAAGTCAGAATAACTCAGGCAAAAACTTTCAAGTGCTTCAAACACTTGAAAGTTCAGTTTTCGGCCATAAGGGCAGCTCAGGGCAAAGGCACTTGCCACCAAGCCTGATGACCTGAGTTCCATTCCTGGGACCAAGTCTGGCAAGTTGTCTTCTAACTTCTATATTCATGCTATAACATACACACACACACACACACACACACACACTCACACACACACACACACACACACACGGAATAAATAGAATAAAAATGATAAGGATTTTAAATGTGCAGTTCTCAGAAAGCATCAACATATTCCTACTTAGCACAAATGTGAGCTGAGAGGCAGTAATAGGGGCTCCCTACCCTTACCATACTGTAATGCAACTAAAAGACTACCACACTGTTCCACAACATAGAGCCCAGTGTCCGAAAATCCACACAGCCCACAGAAACAAAACTAAGCAGAAATGGCCATAAGCCAAGGGCTTTGCAAGAGCTTTCTCATGAAAACAGTTAGGAGCTCTTTAAAGAGGTTTGGTTAAGATCTCTACAGGCACTGTCCAAAGGTGATTCCAGGGTCATTTCTGTCAGATTTCAAAGCCCGGTGTTCAAGATCTCTGAAGCAGCAAGACTTGCAGAGGCCAGGGAGAGGGGACACTTGGGGCTAACACAGAAGACAAGGCTCCATAAGGAAAGGGCTGCATGGAATAGGTCGGTTAAGGAGTAAGGTGTTTGTATAGTATTCTGGAGTCTAGACAGACAGGAGATAGAGGGAAAATGGGAAAGGCAGCTGGTTAGAGACACCATGACATGAGAGATGATTGGGCACAGTCCCCTGACAGGATATTAACATGTCCGCCCTTCTTTTTGCCAAGTGCCTGCATGGAAAGATTTAAAATGGAGCTGAGAAAGTGTCTTACTTAGGTTGCTATTGCTGTGTGAAGAGACAGCATGGCCACTCTTATAAAGGAAAACATGTAATTGAGGGCTCACTTACACCATGATTATCATCACGGCGGGGAACATGGCAGCCTGCAGGGAGACATGGTGCCAAAGAAATAGCTGAGAGTCTTGTGTCTTGCAGGCAACATGAAAAGGTCTGAGATACCGGGCAGTATCCCAAGCATAGGAAACCTCAAAGCCCATCCCCACAGTGACACACTTCCTTTAACAAGGCCACACCCACTCTGAAACAGCCACACTTCCTAATAGCGCCACTCTCTATGAGATTATGGGGCCCAATCCCATTCAAACTACCATGAAGGTTCCTCATAGGAAGGGATCAGTCTTTCTTTTATCCTTCTTCTGCCTCTCTCTTGGCTCCAATGCAATAGCCCAGGTGCTGCACCCACTAGTCCTACTGGTGACCATGCCACAGCCTTTTGAGTCCCATGTGCCAGGAGGGGCAACTTCTTAGCTTGAGGAGTCTAGTGGATCCTCATCTCCATTCTATCTAGAGCTGTAGTCCTTACTTAAAATTAAAAAAAAAATACACTTCAGACACTTCCCAACATTGGAACCTAGCTTTGCAAGGGAGGTAAGCAGCCAGAACCAAGGCCATATGAACAGCTGATAAGTGCCACTAGCACCGGGTATACCTGTTCTCCTTAGAAATGTCATTCACAAACCTTTCAATCACTCATTCATTCAGTTGCTCATCACACAGATAATTATTAAATACACATTCTATCTTACCTGATGGAAATGACAAGGTCCAACAAGTATGTCTCCTGAACTCAGGAGTCTTACATTGTGTCGCTGATAGTACTGGTGACAGGTGATCTACAATAGCTGTAATAAATGCTAGGTTAAAGAAATGCCCAGAAGTCACCATGGTGTTCCCACTCTTTGCTCTGTGTGCCTTGCTTGCTCCTATATCTTCAATGCCCATCCCAGAGACCGACACATCGAAAGGGCTCAATAAAGGTAGAGTCTAAGAGTGCTAAGCTCCAAGGCACTTTCTTTCTGTAGCCCAATCCTAGCATGGATTAGAAAACAAAGGATGCACACCAGTTCTTCCAACAGGTTACAGTATGTTCCAGTTGAGAGGAACTGGGCAGAGTCATTGACATTGTTGCCATGCTCTCCCGGGTATCACATCCAGGCCCTTCCTGCTTTCTCAGATCCATCTTCTAAGAATACTCAAGTTGGTCAGAGTTCCTGTTGAAGCCCAGGGAACTAAAGCTGGACTAGGGGTTGCGGTGGAAATGGAGCTTCAGGTATCTTGTGCTTTTTTCCAGAGGCCATGCCACAGCTCGCCCTGAAAGTAAGTCTGATTCTACCAGCATATTCTCTTCTGTGGCAGGGAGGCTACCAGCAAGACCTGGGCTGCAAAGGCTGTAGAGGTAGTTACAAAACTCCTGTGTTTCCTTGTCCTCCTGCCTCACCTCCTGTCGTCCTACTGTCCTACTGTCCCTCAGGAGTTCAAAACCACCCTGACCCATGTAGTGGCTCAGAAGTAGGACTCTTGCCTAGCTATTGCAAAACCCTGGCTTTGATCTCCAGCATTGGGGGTGGGGTGGCAGGGTGGAGGGTGAGAAAACCACATCGCTCCCAGATGTCTGGCATTGGCTGCTGGCTTTAGAACCAGGTCTCCAAAAGCATTTTTGCCTCATCACTGCTGCCTCCCAGGTTTGGGTCTCATGGGAGAGTTCTTAGCTTAGTCCTAAAAGACATACGATCCCTGCTCCCTAAGAGGACTTGGGCTTTTCTGCTTCTGATGGGTGGCCTTTTACCCTTCTAATGCCAACCATCTCTCATCTCTCACTGTCCCTGTTCTGGAAAAAGTCTCTTAGGGTCTTTCGTGGTCACATGGTGGCCTTGAGGATGGATGGGTAATGGGCAGCCTGGGCCAGGGCCCAAGCAGCAGACCTCCCAAGAACAGTGACACATGCATTTGGGTATGCTTATGGTTTTCTCCAAAGAGGACTGGCGGGAGAAGGGGGTGGAATCTAGAAACTTCTCAGGCTTTAAGAATTCCTGCCCTCCTCCTCAGTCTAACCCTGGCTATGCCTGCCTGGTTCCTGGCAATGCCCACGGGCAGGACAGCAAGAAAAAGAGGGAAGGCCTGTTTGCTATTTGCTTGGTCGCCCCTCCTCCGCACTTGTCGCCACTTGCTACTCACCCCCTTGCTGCCCGCCTGTCCCTCTGGGCCACTGGGGCGCCACTACTGTCCCCAACCCGCTTTGCCAGACGGGTCTAAAGGCAGCTTGACTCACGGTTCTGCCAACAGCCCACAGCTCGAGCGAGGCTATAAAATCTGCCACTGAGGGAAGAGAGGCCCAGTGTTTGCCCTGCACTGCCCAGCCCCAGCGCGCAAACATGACCCGAGCCGCAGAGCGGGGCAAAGGGGCTTCAGGTTGGGGGCTACGCGGCGCCCTAGTGGCTGTAGCGCTGTTGTCGGCGCTGAACGCCGCGGGCACCGTGTTCGTGCTGTGCCAGTGGCGCGGGCTGAGCGCGGCCCTGCGGGCGCTGGAGGCTCAACGAGTCCGGGAGCAGCGCGAAGACAGCGCCCTACGCGCCTTTCTGGCGGAATTGAGTCGTGCACCGGGACAGGTCCCCGAATCACCCCAGGACCCCGCGAGCGCAGCGCGCAACAAGCGCAGCCACAGCGGAGAGCCTGCGCCACACATCCGTGCCGAGAGCCAGGACATGATGATGATGATGACCTACTCCATGGTGCCGGTAGGCAGGGGCTCGTCTCGGTGGCGCCCCCGTCGGTCTGGGCAGCAGGAGGTGATGGGAACTAGGATCCCGTTGGCCAGGAACAAGGTCATGGAGAGAAGCCCGGGTATAGATATGGCTAGGGAAGTCATCCTGGCAAGCTGCTTGACACTTTTGAGATCAGTCCCTTCATCTTCTGGGACAGGGCAGGGCAAGTCTTCACTTCTGACATCTTTTGAGTCTTCAGTTAAATGACGGGATAGGCAGCCTCTCACAACTTTTGATAGACATTTTCTGGGTGTGAACTGACCCACAGCAGGAGCTCCCTGTAGGAGAGTTTCCGAAAACAAAGAAGCTACTTTTCTTCAGCAAGGACCCTTTCCCTGACACAATCTAGTGGTTAGACTTTTAATCTGACCTGGGCTCATCCCGGTGAGATCGTGACCAAACTGCCCACCTAGATGCTGACAGTCATTCCTGGCTCTCAAGCAGTTCCAATTGGGAGAAATTGGTGTAGTGTAACTCTTATTAGCATACTAATATGCACTGACAAAGCTGAGGGTCTTAATGTAGGGCCTGTGGATTGCTTCCCACACAAGCTCAGAAGAGTGGAAAGCCAGAACTGCTGGCACAAACGTGTGCATCCAGGGAAGGTTCCAGCATTAATCTTTCTCTTCTTTTTAATCACTCTCTTTCCCCCCCCTATCTTCTTTCTTCCCTCCCTCCCTCCCTTTCTGCCTCCCTCCCTGCCTCCCTCCTTTCTTCCTTCCTTTTTCCTTTCTAAAACAGTTTCATGGAACCCAGGATGGCCTTCAACTGGCTATGTAGTTGGACTCCAGCCCTTCCACCACCTAGGTGCCAGGATTGCAGACATGAGCCACAAAGCTCCTGGGCCTCTTTGCATTTCCTAAGCTATCCTATTGCATATTCACTTCCTGAGATTTAAGAGACGCCACTCTAAAGGAAAGACAGAGGAAAGAAATCTTTATTCCGGTTTCCAGGTGTTTTGCTTTTGTTGATTTGACTTCAGTGTATCTCTAGCTGGAGACTGAATTCTCACTCCCCTTTCCATCTCCCGGTCCCTTTTCACTCACTACAACAGCTCTGGTCTTATTTCACTTTATAATTAGAAACTTTTCAATTGTCACTCCAAGTCCAGTGAGCCATACTTTGGAATCCTACATATTTGATGAGAAGTCTACTTTAGACATTTGCTGTTGTCAGAGAGGCTTTCAAACATTACGAGTAAGCTTAAATGCTTTTAAAACTACAAATACTACACACTTCAAACACATAGTTTGATAAAGGTCAAATTTCCCATCTCTGGCTTCACTTTTTTTTTAAACTCATGTAAACATTTAAAAATCTGTGCCTAAGCAAAAGTTTCAAAAAATAAAACCTCTATAAGATGGAGAGGACTCGTTAGGGAATTCTAGAGCACTCTCTTGGTTCTCTACTCTGCATTTTAAGAGTTCTTTTTAAACCTTCCAAGAGGAATTCATCTGAACATCGACACTTTACATCTTTAATCCTGCTCTTAAGATAGACGGTTTAGATCCAAATTGCAGCCTATGCAGTCACTGACATAAAAGAATGAACTCATTTCCATGTCACTCAGAGTGCTAGATTTAAGTGCGGGTGACCTGGCAGTTCGGCCACCTGCTGATGTTACACATTAGCGCCACAGAGACTGCAGCTAGAGATCAGCACCCACCCCCACCCCCCATCCCCCACCCCCCCACACCTACCACCACTGTCCCACATGGATGTATGAGACATGTGTGGAACTGAGCTCTCCCTCTATCTGCCTCAGCCTCCTAAGCACTGGGATTACCATACCTAGCTCTATGCTTAATTGTCTATAATTTCAAGTTTTGTTTTATTTTATGCATTTTACCTGCATGTGTACTGTGTGCATGCCATGGAGGTTAGAAGAGGGCTTCAGAGCCTCTGGAAAGATAGTTACAGAAGCTTGTGAAACCCAACCAAGGTCCCAAATATTGAGTCATCTCTCTGATACTTTTTAAATCTGCAATTATAATATAAATCAATAGATTACTTTTTTCTCTTTTTTTTTGTTTTTTGTTTTTGTTGTTGTTGTTGTTATTTTGTTTTGTTTCTCAAGACAGGGTTTCTCTGTGTAACAGCCCTGGTTGTCCTAGAACTCAAATAGTAGGCCAGGCTGGTCTCAAGCTCACAGAGATCTACCTATCTCTGCCTCCCAAGTGCTGAGATTAAAGGTGTGTGCCACCACCACCAGACCAATAGATTCTTTCTTAACAAGGTAAAATATAATGAGAATCTCTTACTTCAAAACCAGATTTCCACTCACTAGCAATTATTCTAAGAGAGCTATCTACTGTCACTATAGGTGACAGAGAAACTAGACAAACAAAAGTAGTCGAATATGTGTGGGCAAGTGAAAGTCTGGCTCTCATCAAATTTTATTAATGTACCAGGAAAACCCAAGAAAATTTGCTGACAACCTACTATAAACAACAATAGAATTCAGTGGGAATTCCTTATATCTAAACCTCCATTCCACCTTCTCCTCTGGGCTCAGTGGCACCTCTCAACCTCGTCAGGTCCTCTCCTGTTTTTCTTTTGGAATCCCCTGAGTCCTGTGAGTGCTGCCTGCTAGAATGTTGACTGATCCTGTTGGGTTGATCTTGTGCAGGTAACCATAGCTGCAGAGAGCTCATGGGTGCAAAGGACATGTCCTTTCCCTGAAGGCAGCATTACTGACCATTTAACATATCAACGATGGTTCTGGCCTCCAGGTTCTCCCAGCATCCCCCAGCCCCTACCTGTTACAGAGTCCTCCTTGCTGACATACCTACCTCTACCATGAACTCCGGGGGCTGGGCTGCCCTTACCCCAGCTGCTCTACCTTATATAATCCAGACATTTTGGTTACACTGGTCCTTTTTTAACCTTTTCCCTTTTGGTCTCTTTGTCTCCTGGTCTCCTGGCTCTCCCATCTCCCCTCCCTTTTCTCATCACATGACCCAGCTCAGCCTGGTCACTTTCACTCTGAACTCTTCCAGATTCCTCTGGCTATGGTTTCCTCCATATCTACAACAACCCTTCTCCTGCACCATACCTAACTAGGAGCAGTCTTGAACTCCTTTTATTTCTTCTTTTCTGTTCACCTCCCCATCCTCTAGCTCTTACAGTCTTTCTGGCCCCTCTTCTTCCATGTTCTCTGAGTCTCAATGAGGTTGACATATATGTTCCATTTAGGGCTGAACACTCAAGTATCACTTATTCTCAAGGCTTTGGACAATTAGGAGTTTCTTCATTCCTGCCATCCACTGCAGAAAGAAAGGGCTAAAGAGATGGCTCAGCAGATAAAGACACTGACTGTACTTCCAGAGGACCAAGATTCTATTTCCAGCACCCACATGGCAGCTCACAACCGTCTGTAACTCCAGTTCAGGGATCTAATGGCCTTGTCTGGACTCTTCGGGCACTACATATACAGAAAAAAGTAGTCATGCATATAAAAATACTCTTTTATTTTAAAAACAAACTTCTCTGTCCAGGATTGAAAGCAGAACTAAACTAGGGATATAAACACAAGGCATTTTGACAACATGTCCATTTAGCAAAAACAATAATAGTAGGTTAATGACCTCCCTTGTCATGGGCTTTTGGCCAAGTTTACAATATTAGGCATGGATTCCCTTTTTGGAGCAGGTCTCCAATTGAATCAGGAAGCAGTTGTTTATCCCTGTAACAGTCAGGCCACTATTGTACCAGTGGGCACATCTTGCCTGGCAGGTTGCTATTGCAGCATGAAGAGTCTAGTTCTGGGTAAGACAATTAATTGATGACTTTTTCTCTCCAGTGTCCAGTGCCTTCCACCTCTATGAAATCTAGCCATCAGACTGGAAAGTTGCCAGATTAATCCAAAATTGATTTCTCTATGTCCTGCAACCAAAGCATATGATATCTTCATCAATAGGGTCTTATCATCTAGTTATGGAGGAAAACTAAGAGTAATAGCAATAATCTGTGTTGTTTTGAACACCTCTGGGGCCTCCTTGACTAACAAATAGAAACATTCCATAGCCAGTAATAACCCATGTCATGTCTTGGGGAAAACATAGTCCACTGATGCATGACACTCCTATTTAGACTCTTTTTGATTAGCTTATGAAGTGCTGTGGTTGCATAAGGCTATTTCATACATCCTTAAATATGGTAACCCACCCACCTCAGCCATTCATTTCCTCTTTCCCCTTTTCTCCTATCAGCATAAACAGTTTACCTCCAGTTTTCTCTGACAAACGTCTCTTAAACATGTGAGGAGAAGACGTTCATGTTTTTAAAAGATTTATTTGTCCTAATTAACATGTATGAGTGATTTACCCACATGGATGTCTATGCACCATGTGTATGCCTGGTCCCAGAAGGTCAAAGAAGGCATTGGATCCCCTAGAACTGGAGTTGTGGATGGGTGTAAGTTGCTGTGTGGGTGCTGGGAATCAAACCTGGGTCCTCTGCAAGGACAACAGGTGCTCTTAACACTAAGCTATCTTTCTAACCCTAGATATTTTAATTTAAAAATGCAAATTGCAACTACCTAAAATATAGTTTTGTTATTTGCCATAACTAGATGATAAAAGTTTGACACTACACCAAACCAGGGAAGCTGAAGGGAAAAAGCCAGGCTCTTGCTCCACTGTTAGAGTGCAAAATGGTGCCGCCCATGTAAAAATCAATTTGGCAAATCCAGAAAAATGGAGAACACATTTTCCCCTTTACCCTACAGTCTCATTTATGGGAGTAACAAAATCTCGGGAGAACTCCCCTCATTACCCACTTAATCCCATCATCCCCCTAAATATCCACCCTGAAGTACAAGTAACATATGAATTTGAAGATTAGGTTTCCAGTATGTGACTCTGGGGAGCTCATTCACACTGTGGCGTATGTCTTGCATGAAGCATGCAATGTATGTTCTCACTGATGATTGCTGCACAGGAACCAGAGCCTAATCTTAATTTTTTTTTCTA